TAACTATAAGGGTAGTATCTGCATCAGTGTCTTCTCATTTACCATGGGTTTCCCCAGATGACAGCAAAACAAAATAGTGTGCTCTAATTCTTCCTGTCAAACACAATAAAGTACCTGGGAGGCTGGCAACAAAAGGACCAGGAAAAGGCCTAGGTAGTAAGAGTTCTTTCCTTTCTAAGTGCATTAGAAGTACAATAATTACGGTTATGTTGTTGGATCACTTGAGATGAAAAGGGCACACTTCCAATTACTTCACATGGGTAACAAGTTCAGATAATTAGAACCGTATCCTTAATAGGGTCTTGGAACTTTGTGGAAGAGCTAACTTAACCATCTAGGTGTTTTCTCAGGTTGCCATTCAGAGTTAAGACTCACTTATCTTTATGATTGCACTCTGTTTTGGGCAGTGAACCAATATCAATGATGCAGGTGCCCTAACATATTGAGACTCTATAAAGTGATGTGTTTCAAAGGAGATAGGAACGAAACTTCAAAAATCAGAACAGATGAAAAAATATATGGATCAAATATCAACTGGTAATCAAGGAAAAAACCCAACACGCAAAAGATAATAAACCATTTGAAATTTCTTAACAAATACAATAAAACGTTAACAGTTGAAACAGTTTTAAATTTTGCCCAAACAGGCTGTAAATTTTATGAAGTTCCTTTCACCAAGTTTCCACATCACCGATGACTTATCAATTAACACAGTAAAGCTGTGGTCCTCAAACATTAGCATGCATCAGGATCACCTGGAAACCCTGTGAAAACGCAGATTGCTGGGCCCTTCCCTCAGAGCTTCCAAATCACATGGTTTGGAGTGGATCTTAAGAATCTGCATTTGTAACAAGCTCCCAGTGCTGCTGCTGGCCTTGGGACCCCGCTTGGAGAAGCGCTGCAATAGACCATCTCTAGGCCTCATCTCCCTTAACTTCGCGGTTGTATATGACACTAGGGATCACTCCTTAGACCTGTGAAGCCCAGCTTCTCCTGCTTTCCTTCCCATCTCCTCTCCACTGTTCCTTCTTAGTCTCTCAGCATTCCTTGGGATTTTATCCTGGGCTGCTGCCTTTCACTGAAATCTGACTGAGCCATCTCATTCACTCTGAAGCCTCCTGTCACCACTTAAACTTGGTGGGTTCTCAGACTGCAGCTCTCACCTGTGTTTCACAAGGGCAGGGTTTTCATCATCTTGTTTGTGACTGCCACCCAAGTGACATAGCGTGCCTGGCCTATGGAGCGTGCTCAGTCAGTGTGTGTTACAGTCAGTGTGGGAGTTCTCCAGTAGATATTTCTACCTGAATGCATCACACACTAACTTGCACCTGAAACTAAGTACACACAGAAAGAAACATACCAAGGAAGGATATTATATACACAAGATTCTTCCCCCATCTTTCCAAGGGTACCATTATCCATCCACTTTGTAAGACCCAAGAAACCTAAGGGCTATCCTTGAATTCTCACCTGGCAAACATCAACTTGTGTCCATTTTACCCCATAATTCTCTTTCACTTTCACTCATGTCTCCCCATTCCTGTTGCCACTGCCTAGTCCAGGTCACCACTGTCTCTCACCTGAATACCCACCTGGCCTCCCATCTGCGCCTCCTGTAATCTTCCAACCCCACAGCCATTGGCTGAGTCCTCAAGTCTCCTCCTGCCATGCCTACCATGCAAGCTGGTTCTAGAACTCTCCTAGTTCTCAAAGCCAAGCCCCACCCCTCAACAGGGCCTTTGTGTCATTCTGAAAGGGTCCCTATGGCCTCTTCAGCATTATTTTCACTTTTCTCCCACAGCCCTATACTCCAGTCATCTTCAACTTAGTTTTGTTCTTCAAACATTCAGTGCTCTCTTATTTCTGAGGCTGGAATTCAAGACATTCCTTCCACCCAGCATAGACTTTCATTTACCCCCTACCACGTTTTAGCTGGATCACCTCTACTCAATTTTCCATTTTCAACTTACAATTCACATCCTTCAAAAAGTCGTCCCTTTTCCCCACAAACAAAACTAAACTGGGTTAGTCCCAGATCTCATGGGTTACCCTAACCCTGAGTATCTGCATACAGGGTATTGCCTCTGCTTGTTGAATTTTTTGCCTTATGAGCCAGTAATGCCAGGACTCATATCTACATGGTCTCGTGTCTACATAGCACTGGGCTCAGCACTGGATTTGGTCATAAATGGAATAGGCCAATTTCATTTAAGGAATAGGCCAGTTGCATTTAACGGAGTGAAATGTAAAAAAAATTACCTGGAAATTATTTTAAAAGAAATTATTTTTCTATGTTGATAGAAGTCCAGTAGTGGCTCCATCGAGGGAATAGTGGCTCTGTTGAGAGGTACTGATGAGAAAGGGCATGAGGGGATCTCCTAGACCTACGGAAAATAGTCTGTAACTTATTGCTGGTAGAGGTTTCACCAGGGGATACATAGGCAAAAATTCATCAAGCTGTCCACTGAAGAGTAGTGCATTTTATGTATGTAAATCATATCTCAATAAAAGCAAATGAACTGCTTTTAAATTAACATAGAATTAATATAGGCTATAACAATTTGTATGGGCTAAAACAATGTGTGTTGGATATAACATTAGAACTCAGTCTGAATGCTGGTACCCCCCACCCAGATTCATATGTTGAAACCTAATCCCCAATGTGACTGTATCAAGAGGTGGGACTTTAGGAGATTAGCTCCCAAATGCCCGCTGTCATGAATGGAATTAGTGCCCTTATTAAAGAGGCCCCAGGGAGCCTGTGTACCTCATGTACCATGTAAGAATACATAGAAGGCACTATGTATGAAGCAGAGAGCTGGCCTTCACCAGACACTGAATCCACAGCACCTGGACCGTGGATTTGGCAGAACTGTGAGCAATACCTTTCTCTTGTTGGAAAATCACCCAGTCTAAGGCATTTTGTGATAGCAGACTGCAGAGACTAAGACACTACCACTAGCCTGAAGCATCCTTGAGATGCTAATTATTTCCCAAAGATCCAGAATTTAAAACATAGCAAAGTAATTCTTTAAGTCTTTGTTCTGAAAATGTCATTGTTTTAGACTTACTATGCCTTACTTAAATTTCAGGTCCTCAGAATGATTTCAGCATCATTCTCCACAGACTTATATACCGTATTTTAAAACCCTACTTCACAAATTAGAGAGGTTTGAGTTAATGACGTATAATTATACTTCGACATTTGAGAAATCTTAAACTACGGTAATGACAATTGCAGCTCAGCTGGGTTCACATTATTTTTTAATATGATCACTTTCCTTCTTGAATTGTAAAAACAGGACACAGGGCAAAAAACACCAGGTGGGGGACTCCATAGCCCTATTAAAAAGGAGCCACGGTCAGGTGTGGTGGCTCATGCCTGTAATCCCAGCACTTTGGGAGGCTGGGGCAAGTGGATCACCTGAGGTCAGGAGTTCAAGACCATCCTGGCCAACACGGTAAAACCCCGTCTTTACTAAAAATACAAAAATTAGCTAGGCGTGGTGGCCCACGCGCGTTATCCCAGCTACTCAGGAGGCTGAGGCAGGAGAATCGCTGGAACCTGGGAGGTGGAGGTTGCGGTGATTGGAGATTAAGCCACTGCACTCCAGCCAGGGAGGCAGAGTCGCCATCTCAAAAAAAAAAAAAAAAAAAAAAAGCCCTGCTCCATGACTTCGGGAAGATTTTCCAAGCTTGTCGAGAAACGTAGGCTTGTCTAGCTGTCTTTTATTAGACTAGAACATAAAACACGGAAGTTCAAGATTCGTTTTCTAACCAATAGGGGAAAAGGCGGAGGGTTTAAGAGCTTGTTTTTTGGAAGTTTTACTTCTAAGAAGGTTCCCTGCCTTCTGGTGCTGGGCTTCCCAACAGCCCCGGGGCTCTGTCGCTGTATTTGTTCTGACTGGTCAGTCATCCTTCGGGCCTGGTGAAAGCCAATTTTGAAAAACAGCAATGAAAGCATTCTTTAGGTAGGGTGAAAACCCCAAGGGAAACTGTACATCCAGATTGAGGAGTTCCCAAAGCCACTTGGCACTGATGGGATGCTTTCCACCCTGCGGATGAGAACCATTGCCTGCAGCTGTCTTGGGTGATGTCCCTATAAAAGTACCTGTTTTGCATCTATTCTTGATATTATGTTAGTGAACGTTTCACCTTCGTCACGTTTCTATGTGCAACTGGCATTTTAACACTCAGAAGTCAGAGGAGAGTAAGTTTGAAAACTCCCAATTGTCCAATTTAATGAAGACATTATTTTATCATCATCATCACCAAGCATATATAACCGTCCAGTACAGGACTTGAAAAACTGGAAGCAACCCAGCCATCTCAGTGTGATTAGGAGAAATGAAGTGCCGCTGTGCCCCCTTTCCTGATGGGAAAATTGAGGTGGCGAAATGGAAACGGGAAGATAAATGTCCCACAGCGGATGTACTTATTCCTAATTTTGCGCACTCTGTCGCTTTTCCAAAGTAGTACCCAGTGAAAGGAGATGATCTGATAAAGTTGGCACTGCACAGGGATATGAGATGGGAGGTGAGGCAGGGGAGCTGGGATGGGCGACGGCCAGTGATGGTGGTGGTGGTTGGTGATGGTGGTGACGGTGGCGCTTGGCCGGCTCCTCTCCCGTTTCTCCATCACTGCCCGTTCTCTCTGCCTCCTCCGTCCCCGCGTGGCCTCTGCCCAGAGAAACAGGATTTGCACCCAAGCCGCACGTGTGTGGGCGCCAGGCTGCGGCGCCCCGCGAGCCCGCACCCCCTACCCCGGCCCCGCGGCCCGGCGGGCCCCGCGCCCCTCTCTGCGCCCCGAGCCCTCCTCGGCTGTGGCCCCGACCCGCTTCCCTCGCGCCCCCTCGCGCCCCCGCGCCCCGGCACCGCCCGAGCATCCCGGGAGGCGAGCGGCGGGAGGATCTGGCCGGCCCCGCCCCCTCTGCAGGGAACGCCCGCGACCCCCGGCCCGCTCCCCGCCGAGCCCCCGCGGCCCGGCCACCGGTCACTTACGGCTGCGCTGGGCCCCGCGCGCCCGGCGGTCCGAGACAAAGGCTGCGCGGTCGCGGCGCCGCCGGCTGCTCCCCGAGCCGCAGCTGCCGGGGCCCGGGAGGAGGGTGGGGGACAGGGAGGAGGGATAGGAGGAGGAGGACGAAGGGAGGAGGGGGCGGCGGCCAGGGAGAGCGGGGGAGGGGCCGCCGCCGCGCCGGCCACCCAGCTGCAGCGGGCCGAACCCAAGCCCTCCTCCGCGGCCAGCCACCCTCCTGGGCTCAGTCCCTCCGCGGTCCTCCGCCCCAAAACCTCCCCCGCGAGAACAGGGTACCGCCCCCCCGGGGGGCGGGGTGAGAGGAAGAGGAAGGGAAGAAGGAAGGAGGTGTGTGTGTGCGTGCGTGTGTTCCTTCTTAATCGTGATGCTCACCACCCACGCCCGCGGCCGCGAGCAATCTTAGGAAAATGCTCGACTCCCGGCTTCACCTGGCCCTCCCTGGGAAGCACCCTCACCTTCCTCCTTCCACGCGCCCGCACACCTCCCCTCCAGATGGTCCAACCATTTTATGAGCAGCAAAACTGAGACCTGGGAGGTGAAATGCCCGAGGGCGCAGAGCTACCGAGCGGCAGGCTGAGAGGAGATTGCCGGGTCTGAGCCCATTAAAAGGAGGACCTAGATGCTACCTGTTCCGTCCTGGGCCGATGCCCCCGCGGGGATGGGTCCAGGCCAGGAATTGGACAAGCACGTGCCATCCTGCCTGGGCCTGTGAGGAGACCCTTAGGCTTTTTTTTTTTTTCTGGGAGAAGTAAGCTTCTCGGTCATGTGCTTGACTCAGACATTTGCGTCTTGTTATAAGGAGTAGCTTTGATTTTTATTTTAAAAACTTCTTATTATGGAATTTTAAAAATTAAAGGGAGAATAGTGTAATGAATGCACAAATGCTCAGCTTCAAAGATTGTCAACATTTTCCGTTCTTTCATCTACTCCTTCCCTTCCCCATCGAAGAGGCTAAGGACTTTAAAAAACATAATTACAATATTATAATGCCACTTTACAAAATTAAGAATAATTCCCGATGCCCTCTGACTATCACTGAACAGCTGATCGTTATTCATTGAACAGTTATTTTCCAGGCCTGTGTTTAGCACTTTGGCTGTACTGCTCAGCTTTCCTTGGGCCTGAAATTTGTCCAAAGCTACTGGTGGACAAAAGTCCTGCAAACCTGTTGCTGGCCTGCAGTCAACAAGGGACCATGAACTAGAGAACGTGATCTGTCATGGGCCCAACACTCATTATCCTGTCCCTGCCCTCTTGAAAATTTTGATTGAAGTCTATCCTTTCAGAAAAATGCATGCAAAGAACTTTGATCTGAATTATAAGGGTTTCCATTCAATTCACACAAAATGTCTGAACCCTAGTGCATGTTACAAACTACAGAGGTGGGCTGAGGTGTCCCCTGCATCCCCTTGGAGTCCCATGGGCCAACTCCTGAAGGCTCTGCTGGGTCTGGCCCCCACCAGGAAAGCTGTATTTGCCATTGGTTTGCCCGGAGTCCTGAAGCCTGAGCACAGCAAAGAGGGAACTTATCTTGGCAGCTTTACTCTATATTTAAGTCTTGTTCAGGTGTGAGATGGAAAGGGTGCTCAGGCATACCTTAGAAGAGCATCTAAAGAGGATGAAGAGGCTCTGGCTGTGGCAAGGGACACCTGGACAGTCAGCTTCCCTAAACTCCCCTGGTGGCAGAGCAGAGGCTGGCTGTTAGTAAGTAGCTTCGAGGGCAGTGTTAAGAGGTGGCAAGGCAGAGTGGCCAAGAGGCAGGCTCTGGACTCAGACCACCTGGCTTTCAATCCCATACCTCTTGCTAGCTGTGTGACCTTGGCTAAATTACTTGGCATCTCTGTGCTTCAGTTACCTCATCAGGAAAAAGTGGGTTTGTGGATCAAATCTGTGGATTGGGGCTGCCAGAGGTATAGTGCCTGGCACAGAAAAGCTGGCAAGGTGCTTGGAGCATTCACACTGCTGGTACCCCCTACATGGGATATCACAGTGACCAAAGCTCAGAGGGATGACTCTTCCAAAGGAGTCACAGCCTTACTTTAAGCAGACAAACAAGGCCCATACCTGCTTTTTGCTGCAGTAGAAGCAGAATGTGCAGAAGAGAAAATGAGTACAGATGCATAATGCCAGCCTCAGTGGGACTTCTAGATGCTGTGAGTTTCCCCACTGCCATGGATCCAGGAAATGATCCTTAGGATGCTGAAGGGCAGGGTTTATTCTCTGTCCCCTCACCCCAGTTGAACTGGTCTCAGTTACTGGAACATGACATTCCCTCTCCTGCCTCCCTATGCCTTATCCCCTCTGGTGAATCTGTCACAGACCACCTTAGGCAGAGGAAGTTCTCTCCAGTCTGAGATCCTGGGCCTGCCCTGCATTCATGATTAGAGCTGTTGATTGTGATGAGAGCTGTTAGTTGCTGTGTGGGTTGTATCGACCTCTCTAGACTGTGTATGTACTGAAAGCTGGAATTGTTATCAAGTCTCAGCATTTCCTGTAATGTCCTGTCCATTGCCTGACCTGGTACTGGTACAAGCAACACTTCATGTAATATGCACACATAAAATAGATTGTCCTCCCAAGGGGTTTGGCCCAGGCCAGGATTTCCATGTTCTGTAGCCAGCCCAGCGGCTAGCCCAGGTGACCCAAACCTGCTCACCTGCCGGCCCTTCCCTGGAATTGAAGAGACCTGCTTCTGTGAGGGGCGTTCGAGTGCCCCAATGATGACTCTCTGATTTTGTATCTTCACCTGTATATTCTCTGCTGTATATTCTCATCCCCCAAATGAGAAGTGCAGTTACTTGCTGTATTGTGGTTCTGAATTTCATTGACCTTGTTCTAAAGAGAATCAACCTTTCTCTTTTCCTTGTACTTTTCTACGACTTTTGTTCCCTCATTTGTAACTCTCTTTTCCTTCCCTCCCTAGTAATATGGATTATACTGATTTTTTTTTTTTTAAAAAAACCTTTTAATGTACTTTGTAGTAATTAGCCATAATGTAGCCATAATGCAAAATTGAGTCTAAGGCTTTTGTGGATTGGATGAACAAATGAAATGTGGTGTCTGGTTCTGCCCATGGGAGAACTGTCAAATTGTACGTCTTCTTGCAGAATGAAATATTTGGGGGACACTCAGACCTTCTGATTCCCTTGGGAAATAATTTTTACCAAAAATCTCTAGTAATGTGTCCAGATCAGACATAACGAAGAACGTTATGAGGACCCATTTGTTCGTTGTGAACAATCTGACATTCAAACCAGCTCTAAGAGAGAACTCTGTAAACTATGAAAATGACAAAGAACTTTAGTCTTGATAAAGAAATAGAGTTTGGTTTAGCTAAATGGAAGACCATACAAGTGTGGAAAGGACAGCTTGAGGTGATGAATGGATTAGATGGCTATAAAGATCAACTTACAGAAGATTAATAGAAGGGGAGATATATAATATCTGGGCTTCCAGCTGTTGAGGAACGCTAAGCTTATTGACATTGAAGATAAGCTTAGATAAAATACATTTAGTCCAAATGGAGAGAAAATACTTTAAAATAAGCCTAATGCTAGCGACTAAATTAAGGCAGTAAATTATCTGTGGTTCCAGTCCATTTACTATTATAGAGACGACAGATCATTCTAATGAACAGCAGATTATTAACCACAAAGCGCCCTATGCATCACAGGGAATTGGAGCCACTCAGCCTTTCACATCAGAGGAAATCCAGTTGTCCTGACAAGGTAACCTTTATATTCTAGTTGGAAACTAAAAAATAAAAACTTGAGAATGTCATATGGAGTGGTTCTAAAACATCAGGAGGTGGGGTCCGTGTCCCCTCCTTGTGGCCCCCGGCTAGGCTTACCGAGGGAATGCTGGAAGAGCTGATATGTGGTCTCCTGGGACTAGATCATAACAGGCATGCACCCTCTGGCTCACGTGGAATGCTTACCTTCCAATATTCCCTCCTGGGAGACACCCACTCAAAACTCAGCCTGAGAGAGGTCCAAGCCACAGGGAGAGTTGATAGAGAGGTGCTGAGGTCAACGGTCTCAGCCCAGGCACCAGATGTGTGAACAAATGCAATGACTCCAATGTCTGCTGTCAAGTTACCTCCAGCTGCTTGAACCTTTCTAGCTATGACCCCAGGCATTGCAGAGAAGAGATTAGTCATCCCCTCCATATCCCATCCAGATTCCTGATCCAGGGAATGAAATACGGTTGTTTAATGCCATTAGGTATGGGTAGTTATGCAGCAAGAGATAACACGAATACCCAACAATAAACAAACATGTCAGATGGAATGAGACAGATTCTGCCTTCAAAAAGCTTACGGTCTTAGCAGGAATCAGTGAGAAATCAGCTAAACATGAAGGGGTCATGCTGAATTCCAGGCTGTTTTCTGGCCTTCCTAGCTGCGCAGCCCCGGGAAGATGTTGGTTTTTGTGCCCAGTGTCCCCATCTGTAAAATAAGCATAACAATAGTACCTCCTGCAGGGACCTTGTGAATAATGAACACGTGAAGCACTTAGGACATGGTAGCACTCCAAAACTGCCAGCCCATTGCTAATATTTTTATGCTCCAGGCACACTTGTTCTGAGGCACACGCAGGAGAAACGGCTCCTGAACCCTGATTGTATCACTGGGTGATTTGTGTTTCAAGAAAAGTAGATTCACTCAATGGGTCTGATTAACAGGCCCCAAGGTTTTATAATGAGTTCACAACAGCTTCTCTTCAATCAGAGTTTCATCATCTTTTCTGGACTGTCACTTGCAGTAAGAAATGCATTTCACATTGTGACCCATGCATACATGTATCTGCCTATATAAAACTATATTAGAATTTTCATAAAATAATATTTGCTCTTATTATGTGCAACACACTCTATTTTCTATTTTGTCCCATTGTACTTTTCAACATCCACTAAATTGATTTCACAATACACAAATGGGTCAAAACCTGCCATTTGCAGGCCATGCAATAAATAATCATTTTTACACAGTTTCTGTGATGGTCAATCTTATGTGTCAACTTGACTGGGCTAGGAGATGCCCAGATAACTGGCAAAACATTGTTTCTGTGTGTGTCTGTGAGACGTTTCTGGAAGAGGTGAGCATTTCAATCAGTGGACTGAGTAAGAAAATCACGGTCACCAGTGTGGGTGAGCATATCCCATCCCCTGAGGGCCAGAATGGAACAAAGAACAGAGAGAAGAGCAGTTTTGCTGTCTTTCTTTTTTTTTTTTTGAGATGGAGTCTTGCTCTGTCACCCAGACTGGAGTGCAGTGGCA